TTAGCTCCTGCATTTTCCTGGCTAATTATTTCCAGACTAGACTGGTACCCCCAACTCCTATACCTGAATAGTTCTTACAGGTTATTGTACCTCCAACTAATGAATCTGGTTATTTTGTCAGGTTCTGAAGCTGAAACCTTTATCAAACGATGAGATATTTAACCAGTTGGTAAAGGCATTGCAGTATGCCATCAAGACTGATGGCTACTACTGGTCATTTTGGAAAGAAGCTGGTGGATGGACGGAGGTACTCAAAAGATATCCGAAAGAAAAGAAAGGCGCGAAGGCGGATAAAGACGATGGAGGCGAGGGATCGAGTGGAAAAGGTGAGAAATTATTATAATCAATCAAATTACTTTTTATTGAAGAATAAGATGATGTTAAACAGTAAGCAAATTTCCTGGATCGAGTGAATAAACAATAGACACTGTCATAACAACATCCTACCGAAAAGCACAGATAGGAAGCAGAATACGATAACAGATAATTGGTTTCTTATTCTCTTTACAAAAGTAAATTTTGTAAATACAATCATTAATATAACTGAATTTGTTATTCAACCCTTTCTAGCACTTTGCGAAGGATAGATGTTTGTTGGCATACCAGACATGCAGAAGAACCGATCCTTGATTGCATAATAATAATAATAATAATAATAATAATAATAATAATAATAATAATAATAATAATAATAATAATAATAATAATAATAATAATAATAATAATAATAATAATAAATGCTTTTCTTCACAATTTATAAAAATGGCAAGAACGATAAACTTTGACAAATTTCACCCTTAGCCTTATTACAAGCGAGGCAACTGCTAAATTCACATCACCAATAATTATAAACACATCGACATAAAAATGGCGGCACAGACGTACGGGTCACAACCAATTTAATAGTTTATTCTGCATAAATGTGTGACAGGAGCTTTTTTTCTAATCGAACATTCTGTGAAATCTAATATTTGAACTAAACTTCCCACACAAATCATACTTTTTGGGATGCGCATTTTGTTAAGTCAAAATGGATGCATGCGAAATATAACTGTCGAGCACTTGTTGGTACAAAAAGTTTATATTTTTACATTTTACTTTGTTTACGAATATCAGATTCACTCTTTATATAACAAAAAGGATAGGTCGACCTTCAGTCTGAATTAGAGAAAGAAAATTAGTACTGCTTTCACCAGTACCGGATTTAGGCATAAGCTAAACAAGCTACAGCTTAGGGCCTCAAAGTCTGAACTCAGTCTGAAGGGGCCCCTCAAATTTATTTTTTACATAATATGGCCTTTATAGCTTCCCATATCTTAGGGCCTCGCTTTGTCTAAATCCGGCTTTCACGCAAGAAATAGCAAAATAAAATGTGATTCCTGATTTAGGTAAAGGAAGGAAGAAATCAGAGGGAGAATCTGACAAAGCACAAGCTAAAGGAAAAGGTAGAGGAAAGAAGGCGGCGGTAGAGGAGGAGAAAGACGATGAAGTGGAGGAGGAGGAAGAGGAAAAAGTTAAGCCAGCCAAGGGTAGAGGAAAAGGGAAGAAAGCATCGGTAAAAGTTGAAAAGGTAGAGAAAGATGTAAAACCTGCAAAAGGGAGAGGAAGAGGAAAGAGAGGAGCAGCAGTAATAAAAGTTGATGAAGAAAAAGAAGAGGAAGAAGTTAAACCGGCGAAGGGAAGGGGTAGAGGAAAGAGAAAGGCAGAGGAAGCATTCGGTGCTTCGGCAGCCAAGGCTGGAAAAGGTGGAAAGAGAAAGCGTTAGCCTGTTCGCTATCCTTATATGGTCGGTCTGACGAGTTTACCTATTTGTGGGTTTATTTATTTAGGGCTAATCCTGTAGATGAATGTTTCGATAAGTTTTATCTTCTTGAAAAGGAAACAAGTACATGTTTGTGCTATAATCAACTACGCACGTGCCATCAACATAAAATGTTCTTGTGAGCATTTCAAATTTAATAGTGGTCAACTGAAAAGTGACGTGTACTCTAGCTAATTTTTCGATCTCCTTTAAAATCTCTTTAGCAGTAGCGTTTAGATCGCTACATAGCTTGCATGGTTATCCCGAACGTAAATCGACATATTTTTATTTATCCAAGTTGACGTCATGTCCCATTCTGAACTGGCCAATTAAATAAGTCATCCAAATACCAGAACAAGTTATTGTTAAATAATGTTCTATCCTCTGACAGCTAGTTCAGACGATAGAGGTCACACAAACCAGGTATTTGATTATAGAAATTGAGGACCGTATTTTTGGACATAGTTTCTAGTGTAATGCCAATTAATGTTTGCTATTGCTTTATTTATAAAGGTTTGACTTGTATTATTTTTTCAGTCACGGTGATCAACTTGCTCTAAGACGTAATACAGATGATGTTAGCTATGAGGGAAAATGCTTGGTCATTTTTCTTATTTTCAGTGGTGGAAAACAAAAGACCCAACTTTTCTCAGTTTAGAATTTATAAGAGAGGAATATAACCCGTGCTCTTTATTCTACTTTATGGGCATAACATTAATGCAGTGTTTATCTTGTCTATACATGGGTACCACAGTTTGATGGCGGCGACGTTATTGGTGTATATTACACTATGGCATCGTTCCATATGACGTCGAGGGTACCTGACATAAATTGATTAGCCAGTATCACAAGGGGTAACAAGAACAATATGTCTCCCCATTCGTTAGTCAGCAACATCATTTACACAGCAGTGATGTCATTCAACTAAAAGCTAGTTTGGAAATTTTCTCCTGGACTGCAGTGATTGGTTTTTAGCTCCACATCGGCCAGTGTATCACGAGAAAAATTTACAGAGATTCAGTACTTTTTCAAAGATAGAGGGTGATAGTCGGCAGCAGTCTTACGAACGCCAGAAGAGTGACACAATTGTCAGCGGAAGTGTATCGTAACCTTTTAAATCTAAGAGATTTGTCGCAAAATGCTGTAGTTGCAATTTCTGTATCTTTTAAATAAAAACTCCTTATGCAATTTTAATAACTGCAATCGTAGCCTGTTGCAGAAAATGATAAAGACAGTAAAGTGTACGAGACAAAGGGAAATTTTCAGAGATTGATAAAGACAAAGAAAATTTACGAGACAAAGGGAAATTTTCAGAGATTGATAAAGACAAAGAAAATTGTACGAGGCAAAGAGACATTTTCAGAGATTGGTAAAGACAAAGAAAAGTGTACGAGACAAAGGGAAATTTTCAGAGATTGGTAAAGACAAAGAAAAGTGTACGAGACAAAGGGAGATTTATGACATGTCGTGAATAGGCAATGTAAACTTTTTGATTTTGGATAATCGATGTGCTCTAAAAGAATATGCTGCTTAATCTATACTCTTATCTTATGTCTGTAATCATTGACCCGTGTGTTGATTTTCTTATTCCACTATTACTTTGCAGACATTTAGTGAGATGGTGCATTTTCCGTACTTTTGTGTGTAAAGATCCGTACTTTGAGATAAATATTTAAGAATGAGAATCGCAAGCAAATGCACGCCAATCTCTAAATTTGTTAGTGACTTGAGATTTCCTGGACTCTGAATAATTCAGAAATTCAATTTTTTTCAGTAGTCCAGTGTTCTGTCATTTTGAAGCATTTGCAATTATCTCAGTTTAAATGATACAGATACATTACAGACTTGAAAACGTGATGTGTGCCTCCATTATGTAGGGTACTTCTGAAATAGGTCACAGCGACAGTTTTCATGCATAACAGACGAAACAGCATTCTGCAAAATTCTTGTTCTATTCAAACGAAACTTAATTTGATTAACTTTATATATATATATATATATATATATATATATATATATATATATATATATATATATATATATATATATATATATATATATATATATATATATATATATATAACTCAGTGTAATATGAGCTATTAAACATGTGTGTGCCTAGCATTGATAGGGTGTGAGAAAATAGTTTATTAATATTATAGTTTGTTTGGTATTGTATTTGGCGAATCCGTTAACCGCAGAACTGCTTTTTAACACACTATTATAGTTATCATTTTAGTTTTTAATCGATTTCGAGCGGACAATAAATGTGCTTTTCTTTTAAAGAGCTGTCTTCACAAATGCTCATATAAATGAATTCCATTTATGACCATTTAGATCAAGTTAGTGGCATTATTGTTTTTTCGGTTTTTTAAATAGTTTTATTTTATATTTTTGTGAATGAATAAACGCATATAAAAAGGTTTTGTGTTTGTTACATTTGATATAATTTGGAGAAATTTTCCTTGCTTCATAGCATTAATTACAAGATAGGAGTTATAGGGACCTGATACGGTAGAGTGGCATGTATTCGTAAAAGTTGAGACAACGTTTCTATATTTCCAGTGACTAACTTCAAGTGTCAGTACCGATGTGCACAAAAACTCATGCAGAAACATCTATGAAAGCAAAACTATTGCACTTTGGAAATTTTATGAATTTAACTCTTGCGGTATGCAACCACAAGGTGTTGAATAGATTTTGAAAACAACAATGTACAGTGTCTTTATTAAAATTAATTAATTTTTTGGAGTCTAGAGAGCTGCGTGGGTACGGCATATCTAAAAAGTACAGAGCTTAAAGGAGACAAAAAAGGCAAAACCTACCTACGATGAGAATTACAGTTTCAACACGTACTTTGAGTGTATTCCTCGAACATGATGGTTATGCCCGGTGAATGTGGTTTAATATCTTGACCTAATTACGTGTGGGTTTATCTTTCATTTCACTTATTTGGGCTTCGTTCACCCAATAGTAAAGTTTGGAGATATGCACGCACTATACGTGATTAGCATGATCCAGATAATTTAGTGTGTGTGTGCGTGTGTGTGTGTGTGTGATGGAATTTTTAACTTAGCTTTAACAATTTTTGTCACTCATACCGCTACGATGTCTGCAGTATGGCAGTTAATAGTGATATCTAGCACTGAGCGCTAATTAAGCAATCGGCTGCTAGTACCATTTTCATAAGTCTTTGGTACGACTTGGCTGGGGTTCGAACTCGCGACCTTCCACATCTGAGGCGGACGCTCTAAACACTTAGGCCACCGAAGCGGTTGTTGTATGGGCAGCAAAACCTTTTAGGAAATGGACAAAGTCCCTTAATTCATTTAAATGGTGATAAGTTCATTCTGGTCTGCTCTCACTTCGTAATTTTTATCGCTTTCATATAATTAAGAGATCTAATATAAAATATTTCTTTGTGATTACCGGAGGGGGGGGGCTGATACAACGGAAGCAATAAGTTGAAATCACTGCAGGACATGACGGACGGGTGAAAGCAGTTGTTTAATTGCACATTAAATTTGGTCGGTGGTTATAGGCCTAGATTGTAAGCCTGTTTTTTTTTTATTTTCTCTCGTAATAATTGAAAACTTTCATCACGTCTCTTAATAGTCAAGAGAGGGGGACGGAAATAATACCTGTAAGTTTTATTATTATTATTATTATTATTATTATTATTATTATTATTATTATTATTATTATTATTATTATCATCATCTTTATTGTTATTATGATTACTATTATTATTATATTTGGTTGCCATTTAATATTTTCTATATAACTTGGTCGATATACTGGCATTCACAATAAGTCTACGTCTTACTATGGAATAAATTACCCAAGTCCCTTGTAAGTGTATCCATGGTACTACTGCATTAAAACTGCATTTAATATTGAAGTAATCCGAAATATTCATTCAACCGCGAAATAAAACTCGTGCAAACAAAATCTCGCTACTTATGCAAATATTGTATTCATAGTTAACCTCGGCGTACCGAGATTATTTTAGATCTGCATAGAAAACCAGGTTTATACTGAAGAAACCCGAAGCAAGCCAGTTTACACGCATAATTTTCATAAGTCCATTGAAGTATATCCATAACAGTTTCGTCCGTAATACGTAGACTTATATTTCCATTTTTAAGATTCACGATTAGACAACTAGACGTAAATATATTCCTTCTTGAAGAATGAACCGCGGTGACTTAGTGGCTAGTATGCCGGTGGGGGGGGTAAGAGAGAGAGAGAGAGAGAGAGAGAGAGAGAGAGAGAGAGAGAGAGAGAGAGAGAGAGAGAGAGAGAGAGAGAGAGAGAGAATTATAAATTTAATACAAATAATACTGTTACAAGCCAGGGGTCTTTGCTTGACCGAGCGGTGTCAAAAACCTTGCGCGATTCCCGCTAGAAGTCACAAGTTTACCCCAAATTTCCAAAGACTTCTATACAACTTCAGTTGTAAGTTAGAAAGCCCGACGTGTGCTTTCTATATATAGATTCAACTCTAATAATGCAAGACCACATTATTCACAACTTGCCAAATCAGCCAATCAGCCGCACATCTGCAATTTCTCTTCATCAACTTTCCATACTGTCAGCAGTTAAAGCCACAGAACTCTACAACTATGCCCGAACACCGGGAACTATTTTAACTACGCCACCTTAGGCCAGTCATTCTGTGGTTTCAAGGCATATCACGCCAGCACAACTGCATCATATTTGCCACCATGGAAACATAAATGGTATCTGCAGACTCCCCTCTCGTTTATTCCATTGTGTAATTTACCGGTTTCCTACGGTAAATACTGCTACTGCAGTCACAACACCAATGTACACCACTAGATTTTAATAAGGACTACCTTATCCATGGACAGTCATGCGGTTTGGGTCTGAATTAGCTACTCATTGACCATGGTATCATGGAAACTCACTAACACTCTCTCCTTGACGTTTGCTCCTAGTAATTGGCTAAATATTTCGGGCTGAGGAATATTTCCCATTGCACCGAATTACAATAATCAAACAAGTAATCATGGGGCTCTATAACCAAATGTGCATCTCCTTCATTTTATTACAATACTATCATACAGGTTAGAGATTTTTTTTTTTAATTCGTACTTTGCGGAGATTCGGACTCAGGTCCGCGGGTAAATGGCATTCATCGCCTTGCCTGCAGGCACCAGACCATATTCCATCACGACTAAGCACGCATCAGCAAAAAATGATGCGACTGCATCGGTGTTATATTCACACGTGCTTAGCAGACACGCTCGCATGACGATATATATAGTAATTAATTCTCATCTATTTACATAGTCATTCCAGATTCCTATGAAAGCAACCAAGGTATATAGGATTAATTATAGAGATCAATATAGTAACTATAAAGGAACATTACATTATATTATGTACTGCACTAGTGTTGTATGCCACACCAAGTGGGTAGATGTCTTTGCTTTGATGCGCAAAAATATTTTCTTTTTTTAATGCCAACCTAAAGACAACTTAAATTCTACCGTATAAAAGTAATTTGGTGAAAAAATTAAGACGTGCGTTCATACATACATACATACATACATACATACATACATACATACATACATACATACATACATACATACATACATACATACATACATACATACATACATACATACATACATACATACATACGTGCATGAAAAATTTATGTTATGAACCCCTCAGTTATTGTACTCATCCATAAAACCCTCGTACATTTAGACATCTAAACGAATGACCATAGTACAATCCGAATATAATGCGAGTCTTACGACATGTATTGCGACATGTATTGCCAACTGATCTGCTTATGTTCGGACATGGGTTACGAGTATTGAGAAATGTAAAATATTCTGCTTATATTCGGACAAGAATTTTGAGTAATGAAAAATATATTGCGAATATTCACAAATGTTCAGACAAAGGATGTGAAATGTGTGCAAGGCCTGTGCCTACATTGGCAAAATAATAGGAATAATAGTGATGATTTCTTTCTGGTTGACATAGCGCCAATGGGCTTCTGTAGGAAGCTAAGACGACTTCTATAATGTTTTCTTGTATGAAATATAAACACGGGACTCAGTCTGGGTTTGTATTAACTTAAAGATTAGTCCACATCTCGAGCAAGTTCCATCTTGTTATTCTGCGCATTTCAAATACCGTATTTATGACAACGAACTTGAGAGAGAATAACAAGAAATATAACTAGAAATATGCGGGTGAGAACACGTATAAAATTAATATACTGCAAAATTTGTGAGTAACGTTATTCTGTAATATCTAGGGTGGGGAAGTTATAATTGAAGAATAATATTGATTAGGTGATTAATGGAGGTCATGTAAGCGTGACCTCAATAATAAATGAGTGGAAATTGCAAGGTTATTGTACCACGTGGTATTACGGTATAATATATGGAACAAAATACAGTGTAGATCGATTGCCAAAGAATGCTGGTATTTACATGCCGAATTGTCATATCACAATGAATCTTTCATGTAGACGAGACGCAAGTTTAGCTGTGTTTTTCTCCATTGTTAGAAGAATTCTGGTTTTAACTTCTTTATTCCGTGTTTTGTTACATGCGGCCGTAAAACTATGGCATGCATTTCGATAGAGTTATCGCCCTATATTGAAAAATCACTTTTCAATAAAATACAAGACTTTATTCTAATCGAGTTATAAAATAAATATTTTGGTAATTTTTGTCCTCATATCAGCTAATATGGCTGTCTGCTAGTAAGCCTGAAAGTATAGAAAACTGAAATATTGATATCAAAATTATATATTTAGAATTATCTACTTGTCTAGCAAGTTATATGTATGCATGCATGCATGCAAGCATGTATGTATGTATGTATGTATGTATGTATGTATGTATGTATGTATGTATGTATGTATGTATGTATGTATGTATGTATGTATGTATGTATGTATGTATGTATGTATGTATGTATGTGCGTGCATGCAAGTATGTATGTATGTATGTATGTATGTATGTATGTATGTATGTATGTATGTATGTATGTATGTATGTATGTATGTATGTATGTATGTATGTATGTATGTATGTGCTTTCATATCTAGAGGTGATAGCCAACGGTGTAATTTGCCCAGTATCGAGTAAGGTCAATACAAAGTATGAATTTTATGGGCGGAATAAATAAATAATCTGAGCTGATATATAGAACAGAATAAATCGAGCCCTCATTACAAATATAGACAAAATTTAATCAAATTTCAAAAACAATATAATTTTACAAGCAGATGATATAAACTTTAGAATTCAAAAGATACACTTCGTTTCTTTTTCAAGGAATTTCAAAATGCAAATAAGATTATAAAATTAGCCGATTCTGTTTACGATAGAATCAAATCATCATTTAACCGAGTGAGAAAATCTAATAACACTGCCTTACATTGATTCATAACCTGGTGTTCGATTCCATCTAAAAGGTCCACTCAGACTGTTTCTCTGGACTCCCTCGCACCGGTAAGTCGCTCTAGTTTTCTTTTTCCAAAATTCTTGGTATCTCGCCTTTTTTCCTTTTTGGCTTTCCATTCTGTTTTGGTTGTAAAACGTATCGCTTCCCGAAACTATCCCACCTTATAAAATTATAAACAAAAACAACCTAAATCTTCCGTCACATTATACGGGGATAAATCATTAGTCTCACCTCTCGAGGTCAGATGTAATTCTATCGGATTGAAATAGACATCGATAGCTATCTAGACTAATTGGTCATAACAGAACATACAACCTAGTCCCACAGACTAATGGTCTGCTAATGGCCATTTACACCACACCGAGACATTATTTCCTTGCTAGTCTCATTACACGAGAGTGAATGAAATTCCTTACGGTACGTTAGAGTTACCAATGAACATAATACATTTGTTCGGATAATTTCCACGGCTTCCGGTAATATCTACATTCCGTCAATTTGTCATTTTATATAAGTAAACAATCTCATTGTACGAACTCAGATACATGAGCTCAACAGTTATTCTAGATACATAATTTCCTATATAATAACCGAGACTATAACTTAGCAAGCTGTCAAGGTACATATAAAGTAAAATATCATTATGCAGACTCAGATAAACAACTCAACACAAGTATATCATATCAAGAAAATAGATCTACAACTTAAACAAATAAATCCTTGCAAATACAAGCAATTAAATCAACAAATCATCATAGTATCAACGACTTAGATGAGTTTTATGCAAAACCTTGTGTTTCAAGCTTTTAG